ACAATCATATTGTCCTTATATTATTAAACTCAATAAAATCCAAGGCAAGGCCTCATTCTATAATAAAAAAAAAAAAATATTTATTTAATAAAGATTTTGATTTCAATGCTACTTATAATAATATTACTACTACTAGTGAAAATTCTAATAATAAGTAAAATAAAATCAATAATTATAATAATTCAAAAAAACTTAAATATGAATATCTTGTCAAAAAAAATTTAAAATAGAATTCAAATTAGAAAAAAACTTATCTGTGAGTTAATTTAGTAATAAAACAAAATAGTAAATATATAGTTTGTATATAGTGAATTAATGCAAAATGTAATAATATTTTTATAACTAGTACAGAATATTTTAAAGAGCAGTATCTTCAACAGTATATAGAGTGAATTAATCATAAAAAGGTTGTACATACTTGTAATAAAGATCAAGTTAGTATTATAACTAGTAAGTTGCAATATATTAAATCTGATCAATTACAAATAATAAGAAAAATAATGAATATTTATTTTCTTATAAAGCATAATCTTGTTGCACTTATTTATACTATCTTGTTGAGATGCAAATTCAAAATACTAATAATAATATTTTATTAGATAGTATAAGTCTTTTAAATTTACCTGAATTAACAACTATAATTCAATCTAATCATAGTGAATATAGTTCATATATTAATAACTATGCTAGTAGACAATTTATTACAGCAATTGTACATATTATTGAAGAAGCTATACTTGATAAATTACAAACATTTGTAGCATGAAGTCTTATGATTAATAAAAGCAATACAATTACTAATAAAAAAAATCTTGCTATTATTTCAAGATATATATCATATAATATATTTATATTTTGTTATTTTGATATTATTAAACTTCAAAATGCTTCATCAAATGCAATTCTTAAAGACTTGAATCAATTTATTATTGCTAAATATCTACTACTAGAAAAACTTTACTATTTTAGAAGTGAGAGTACAAGTGTTAATTTAGACAAATATTGTTTTAAATATTTATTTAAATTATATTAGCTTATTAATAGGAGATTTTAAAATTAAAATCAAGAAATTTTATTTTATTTTTTCAATTTATAAGTCAACTTAATAAAAATATTATAAGTTATTCTCATTATAATAAAGTAATTAGTTTGAGAAAAAGAATCTTTACTAAAGTTTATAATTAGAAAATACTATATAAACTTTATTATTTTGAGTAATAAATTTTAAAAAAATTTTTTACTATATTTAGATCTTTACTATATTGAAAGTTTTTTATAATAAAGGTGACTTGTATTTAAAAAATCCTATTTAATTTTAAAATGCATTACTTATTTATTAATTTTAAAACTCTCTAATTATTAATTTAGAATATATAAATGGAATAGCAACATAGTTAAAAACTTATCTTCTATTTTTTACTAAGCATCATTATATAATTTACCATTTAGCACTTGTTTCTAAAAATGCAGCAGAACAAACTCTATATTTTGAAACTTATAATAAAATTATATGACAAATTTATAGTTATTTTAGCTGATCATATTCATGACTTCAAACTTTGTGAATAATTCAAAATCATTTAAATGAATCTAATTTAGATATTTTGCAAGTTATTAAAACCAGATAGCTTTTATTAAATAATGTTGTTACTAATTTTATTAGATTATTAATTCAGTAATTGGTGCATTATTAGAAAACTTACAAAAAAGCCAAAAAACTACTTAATGGCTTTATTAATATATTGATCAGAATTTTTTAATTGCAACACATTTTTTAGCTGATATACTTTCACAACTTTATAAGCTCTTTTTAGTCTTTTAAGCTGATAATATTTTAGTTTTAGAAGTTACTATACAAGTGAATACAATTATTGAGTCTATTACAACTAATTTTATTAGTATAATAAATATACTATTTATATTTGAAACTATATTATTATAATTTATTAATCAAAATAATATTTTATTGAATAATCTTCCTTCATTTGTATGAGAATCTTCTATAAATATAGTAAAAAATTTTAAGCTTTGCTTTTCAAATCGAGTAATTGTAAATTTATTTAAAATTTTTGATTCAAAACAATTACTTATTGATTAATACTTATTAGCAATTTATAGAAATTATAAAATTTCTGAAATTAGTAAATTTTATGAAATATCAAAAATAACTACAGGTATAAAATTTTTAATTATTAATCTTATTTTAAATAAATGCTAATAAATTATTAACTATATTAAAATTAAAAAGAAAATAAATCTTAAAAAATTATTAATGCAGATAATCTTGCTCAAGAGTGGTGAGTTATTAGATTGCTTCTTTCTAATTATTATAATTTGTATATTACTATTGCATGACATAGTATTCTATATGATAATTAAGACTTTATTCTGATTTATTCTAATTCTTATATTATTATTTTAATTATGCTATGCTTACCTCTTTCTAATGCTTATGTTGAACATATATTTTTAAAACAAAATCTTATCAAAACTAAACTCTAAAATAGAATAAATTCTAATATTTTAAATAATATTCTTATAATTTCTTTGAATAGTCCTTCTTATAAAGAATTTAATTATAAGTATGCTTATTATTTTTGGAGGAGCACAATTTTTTGTTAAATATTTAGTTATTAAATTTTTTTATTTTCAATTTAAAATAACTTTTATATTATATAAATTCAAAATAAATATTAGCAAGTATATTAAATAACTTGAGTTTTAAACTCTATTCAGATGTTAT